AAATTAAGGTCGTCACGTCACGTTGTCTAGATTGCATGTAAGTATTATATATGGGGAGACCAGTTGTAATGGTCTCGAAAGCAAAACGAATATGTGGCCGCACAAAAAGAGAAAGAGGGAGAGGGAAAGGATGGTGGAGGTGAACTTAGCTTGCACCCACGAATAATCTCCCGTTCGATCCTCGGCGTCGCAAACTTGCAGCAACAAGCAAAATGTCGTCAGATCCGGGCACATGACAAGTGGACAACTACTACTTGTCCCGTCATATATCCCTTCTCTCATTGCAAACATATGAACCTAGTTTTTAATTCCTTTTCTTCAATCCCTGAAACTGAAGAAATTTAAGACCTCCTCGGAGCTTGCCGACTAAGAAATCATAGCTTGTAGCCAATTTTTGGAGACGAAAAAAAAGCGAAACCATTACTACAAATAACGTGCATGCATGTACGTACTTGAGTTTTACTTTAGAAAAAAGTTGGGCTCAATTTAAGTGCCAATTATGACTACGAAGATTTTTTTTAAAAAAAAGGACCTGCTTGTAGCTTGTCAACTAAGAAACCTTAGCTTCTAGCCAATTTTTGGAGGAAGAAAAATAAAAGCGAAACCATTACTTCAAATAATGTGCATGCATGTACTTGAGTTTTACTTTAGCGAAAAGATGCGCTCAATTTAAATGCCATATTATTATGACTCTGAAGAGAAAAATAAAAAAAGGACCCCCTTGTAGCTTCCCGACTAAGAAATCTTAGCTTTAGGAATTCTTTCGAGAAGAAAAATAAAAGCGAAACCATTACTACAAATAATGTGCATTCATGTACTGAAGTTTTCTTTAGCAAAAAGCTTGGCTCAATTTAAGCTGGGCTCAATATTTTTTCTTAGATCTTAGTATTCCCCTGTAAAAGAAAACAAGGGAGTACTTTCTAAGTCATACTCTCATAGTATATTAGTATGTGTGTTTTGCATGTGCGTAGTGGTGAGTGGTTTGTATCACAAAAGGAAAATATGGTTATAAAACCCCAAAATTGAAAAAAGAAATATAAATGAGGCAGCATATATTAAAAGCTTGAGCGAGAAAGCGCCAGCACGGCAGCACCACATATTTTGAAGCGAAATATTTCTTTACGTACATGTATGTATAGACTTAAATTTGTTTTTAAGTAAAGAAGGACTAAATAATGCAAATGTCATGTGAGTATTATAGAAGCAATAATTCAAGCGATTATTGTACTCACGTGCTTACAGATGCGCTGGGCTGCAGATTATTGTACTTTACCAGCGATGAATCGAATCTGCACATGGCTTAGCCGGCCCGGCCGCCAGGGCACACAAGACGCATTTGCATGCATGCTTCATGGCGGCGTGGAGATCCGGATTGCATGCGGTGTGGAGCACTCGAGCGTGAAGTGAAGCAACAAACAGAGGGGCCCCTTTGGAGAACATGGCCAGGTTTAGGTACGACTAGTAGTATTTCTTGCGAAATCGGTAGGAGTAGTATTATATATATATATATATATATATATATATATATATATATATATATATATATATATATATATATATATATATATATATATATATATATATATATATCAGATGGGCACATTATTATTATCATGTCAGCCAGTGTGCGTGATGCGATCGTAACGGTGCAAGCACGCCCAGGAACCAACCGAGTATATTGAGTGCTGCTTCTGCAAAACAAAAGATGCTCATTTCTCGCTCTGTACATGCGGAGAAGGATTACGCAAAAAAAGGTTTCATCATCTGTAAAAGTATGCATATTGTAACCACCTTTACAGTTTAAAACTCTGAGCAGTACCAGCCATTCATGTTTTTTTTTTTTTTGCCGTTTGAAAAATCGGGCATCCGGCCCAACTGGACAAGCTAGCAACCCATCGTAGGGCCTAAACGGACCGTGAAAACCCAACGCTGCACCCACACGCAGGTCCACGTGGTCTGAAACATCAACCGGAACTCCGGAAGCAGCGCACGCATGGGCCATATGCCTACTCCTTTGCCACAGCCCACGAGTTACGAGAGGATCCACTACAAAAAAAAAACGAGTTACGAGAAGATATAGTAAAATCTTTCGAACAGGGAGGAGTCGAATGTGAAAGCCTTATCGATTCTTGACGATTAAAAAAAAGACTGGCTAACGCTGGGACGTGTCCCACGCTGGCCGCACAGGGAGGCAGCTAGCACCTCAAGCTCATGAGCGAGCGCACTAGCAGTGGGCCCTATGCTCGTCTTGGACGTTGCCCGCGCTGCCAGCCGTTTCCCACACGCATCCCATGTGCAACACCCAATCTATTTTTGAAATATCCAGATGCAACAGTTGCAACATAAAAAAGACAGATGAAATACTTAAAACAAGCGTCTGAAACACTTACAAAAACACCTGAAAACATTTAAAACCATTACAAACATATGCAACATCAAGATTAAACACTTGCAAACATACGTATGAAACACCTGAAAACATTTGAAACATATGCTTGCAATATGCATTTATATGCAACATCATATCCAGATCTACTTTTGTAACATCTAGATAAAACAAATGCAATGTACGTCTGGACCAGATGAAATATTTAGAATATACACTTGAAACATATGTGTATAGCCATTCCAACATGTGCAACATCCCGATCTACTTTTGCAACATCGATATACAAACACTTGCAACATACCTCTGAAACATCTGAAACATTTGAAACATACTCTTGCAACATGCGGTTTCACCCTTCTTTCGTACGACGCAACATAGAGAGAGGGAACGGCCGATTCTGGCAAGCCGATGGCTGAGGATGTTGGCAAGGCTTGGCAACGGTCAGCGATGACCTCCTCTCCTAGCCACCCGGCCACACATGGCGGCCAGAAGGAGCCGCCGATCTCAACGAGGTCGGAGAAGATGCTCGCGAGGAGAGACGGGTGCGGTGGCACAACGACAGGGTACGGGGACGGGGAGCGGCGCGTTGCGGCGACGGCCTGTTGAGGTGGGCGGCGGGGAGTCGGTGTGGGCTAGGTTGAGGAGCGGGTGCAGGAAGCAGCACGTGTGCTCTCATACGAGTAGGCAGCGGCTGCGTTTCCTGTCTGGTGGAAGGAGAAGAGGAGCTAACATTCAGGCCTGCGTGTAAGAGAGAGGGAGGGAATAGGTGGGGTGGCCGGTTGGGCTGTTGGCCATTTGGCCTAGGCAGAGGGATCGAGCGCAGAGCAGAGCGTCCGATTTTTTAAGATTTCGGACATATGTTCTGTAGCATTATCGTTAAAAAAATTACTCACAGAGCTATCAAAACTAGCTCAAAGATCACGTGGCTTATTCGCACCAAAGTATTTTACTTATCTACTCTCTCCATTCTAAACTATGAGACATTTAATTAGCTTTTTTAGATATGTAATTTTGTTATGCAGTTAGATATACGCTATGTCTAAATTACACGCTCAAAGTCTTTTTTATATAATGAAATAGAAGTATCCCAACCTTCGCATCATGGTGATGCTTTAGCCGTTCATTATTACAATAGTTACTAGCGGAGCAAAGCAAGCTCAAAGTTCACCAAACAAAAGCGCAAAAAAGAGACCCAACACCTTTAATATAATCTGTCTAAACATCCACCCTTGTCCAACAAAATCCTCCATTATGGTGATCTCCAAAGTGCGGCTAGCGTTCCGCACAACTTTTCCATTCGCCACCTACTACTACTTTTTCACCCTAGTGCAATGTCGCTAAAGTGTTACAATAGGCTCGAAATGGTTGCAATAGCACCAACGAAAATGATTTTAGTTCTGGACCCACAGTGAAAATGATTTTCACCACTAGTTTTATGCCCGAGCTGATGGTGAAAACCAAGGAGTTCGTCGCCAGATCATGTGCTGGACCGGCAGTGAAAGCTTGGTAGGTTTTCACCGTCAGCACATGACCCGACAATGAAAGTCAATTTTGCCACCAAACAAAAGCGCAAAAAAGAGACCCAACACCTTTAATATAGTATGTGTAAACCTCCACCCTTGTCCAACAAAAACCTCCATTATGGTGATCTCCAAAGTGCGGCTAGCGTTTTGCACAACTTTCCCATTCGCCACCTACTACTAATTTTCCACCCTAGTGCAACGTCGCTAAAGTGTTACAATAGGCTCGAAATGGTTGCAATAGCCCTAATGAAAATGATTTTAGTTCTGGACCGACAGTGAAAATGATTTTCACCACTACTTTATGTCCCGAGCTGATGGTGAAAACCTAGGAGTTCGTCGCCAGTTGATGTGCTGAACCGACAGTGAAAGCTTGGGTGGTTTTCACCGTCAACACATGAACCGACGATGAAAGCCATTTTTGCCACCGGGTCTATTACGTATCGGTGGCGAAAATACCATTATAGAAAACCAATTCTTAAGTATTGCATGTAGAGCCAAGTGTTAAGTCTGTGTCACGTCGGTAAAAATCAAATTCACAAACTATTTTTGGGATTAATTTCCTCTCTGTATGAGTTAATACAAGTGTGTAGTATGTAATATTTGACATCATTATCTAAAAAAATGTAATATTTGACATTGGAGGGGGTTTCAAACTTTGTAATGACTTGTTTGGATACACTTGAATCCACGTCAATCTATATAAAGGTGATTAGAGTGTAAAACAAGCTCTAAAGTTGAGGGTGGCGTGGGGAGGGGAGGGACTCGATTCATATGACGATTTTGGTTGAGGATGGTCGTGTGATTACGACTTACGAGCAAGACCAACCAATCAATCAAAAAGACAAAAAAGACCTTGTCGCAATTATTGCTATTTTTTTGATGAGGCAGTTATTACCATTGGATTTTTAAAGCTCAAACTAGACAGATATCACCAGCATTACTGGCGGCAAAATCAATCAAGTGCAATGACGGACGAACTGGCTTATGATGAATGTTCATTCACAAAGAAGTAAAACAGGAACGGGGTGGGGGGGGTGGGGGGGTGGAGGAGCAAATAGTCCTGTTGTGAGGGATTTGAGCAAATAGTCCTAACGAAATGATTCGTCGCCGTCGGTGCCCCCGCTACGCCGCCGTCGTCGTCGAGTAGAGGCCAGCAGGAAGAACTCCCACCGGCAGTGGCGGTAGAGGGAGCCGACGAGGTCGCGGAGCTCTGGCAGCAGCGCGGTGAGGTTCCGGCCCGACGGCGACAGGGCGGGGAAGGGGCAGAGCAGGAAGCCCAGCGCGAACATCGTTGCCGCCGGCCACATGCCGCCGATGATATCTCTCGGACCGGCCTCCGTCGATCTCGATTCGCCGGTGCGTGCTCGATCGCGTGGTAGGTGTGGTAGCTAGCTTGCAGAGTTTGCGGGTGGAGTGTGTAATATTTGTAGCCGCAGAAGAGGTCGCTAATTTCCACGTGCCTGGATGAATAGCAGGTGAGACCCATAGTTGAGCTGGAGTGGAGGCCCTGTTGCTTTCATATTTCTGCAATGCACTTGAGGTTTGCATAGGCTTTGAATCTTTTGCCTAATTTTTCACCCAGCGTTCTGCAGTAATTCTCTGTTTGCATTGCTCCAAAATTCTGTCATCATTCTGCAATCTCAGTTTTCATTCTTGGAAGCGAGATCTCTATTGATGGCTATATAAACTAGTCATTCTGCACGGCCGGGCTAGTAATTCTGCGACAATTCAATATGATCGCCATGCTTAGTACTGTTGTGTGCTTAAAAAAAACATCTGTAAGCCTGTTAGGATATGCTACATATAATCCAACAGGCAACACTCAAAATTTATTGCATGTAAATGTCACGGGCCAGTCTACGGGCCCTAGAGCCGGGCCGAGCGAGGCCCAAAGGAAGGCCTTGGGCGGCCACACCCTGGCCCAACGCACCGCCAAAGGCGCGCGCGGCCAGGGGGGCCTTCCCACCCGGAGGGAGTTCAGATAGATGGCAATTAGAAATAGTTTTAGACAAGGATGAGAACAAAAAGAAATAGAGTTTGTTTAGGAAAAGATAATCAATTTGTTAGGTAAAAGAGAGTCCAAATCTATAAGGACTTTACCTCTAGTTTGCTTGTGAGTTAAGCCCCTAGAAGCTATAAATATAGGGGTCATATAATTATTTGAATCTTAAACAAGAATAGAGCATTGCTCCCCCCCCCTCTACCTCTCTCTCGCCTCCCCTCCTCTCTTCCCTAACTGCCTCCTCCTCTCCCTCCCCCTGCGCCACCACCACCACCACCACCTCCTCCCCAACCAAGGCTCATCACATCTGGTATCAGTGACTAGGCATCCATGGGCGACAATACACCATGTCGATCGAGATGAAGGCATGCTCGAGAACTTCTCCGCCATCCTTACCAAGTGCATGGACAAGGTGCAGGAGCACCTCGTCAACGTCGACGCTCATTTGAGCAACATGGAGTAGGGAGGCTCCAAGGAGGATGCCAAAACCGCAGCCGTGACCAAGGTAAAGTTGGAGCGTGACATCAACACCAAGGAACTCGAGGAGGAGACCAAGCGCGTCGTGGAGATAGCGGGGTGTGCCTTCCTCAAGGAGAAGATCGAGGGCTCCAAGTCGTCGGGGATTCCTGCGATTGTGGAGCAGGTGATGAACAATCTGTTCGTTGCCACGCCCGAGCCAAAGGTGCCACCTACGAAGCCACTGCCTTCACTGCTTCCCCCACCCGATAGTAGATCCAGGATCATTCCCAATCCTCCAACTACACTATCACAAGCTGTCGTTCCTGACATACGACGGCAAGTAGTTTTTCAGAGGCCAATAATGCACCATAGACAATGAGAAAGTGTGGTGTCTATACCTCAACCGCACGACCCCAATTTATATGGTGGCGTTTATATATTTCACTCCGGCTGGTGGACAGGACTGGTGTCAGTCAAGCTAGTTTGTGGTGGTGGTGTTCAACTATACAGTGGCACGTCGACGATGTTAAAATCCGGGAAATGGTGCACTCTCTACATAGGTTTATAATCTATACATATAATCATGGTCTCGGTCATGATCACTTACCTGTGTGCATGCCTTAGCTGTCTAGTCTTCTCTTGTGATGCTTTGTCTCCTCCAAAGATAGATCCGGCTTGAGGCTGTTGAGACGAGGGGCGTGCAGAGGCCACCTTGTCGCTTAGACTGGAGAATGAAGGTGTCGTGAGGGAAGATGAGTGGTGAGATGAGATGTGAAGTTGAGTGGATGTGAGAATGAGATCGTGGGATTGGGTTTTGAGAAGATATATATTATATACTTGTTGCTATTCTACATGCGCTAAGGTGTAAACTACATCCAAACTATTAGGATCACTAGATCCCTTTATTTTTTATTTTTAACTAAAGTACATTGGTACTAACGATGGCCTGCACATATCTGGTGGTGTGTATATTTCTTAACTTGCAGTGTTGTTGAGAACCGTAGTGGGTCTTCGTCCTACAGTCAAGGGCATTTTTGGATTGGATAATCGCCAAGCTTCGCTGCTACGTTAAGAACGTCGATGCTTTTGTTCGATTTTAGCCTAGAGGGCTTGTACCCAACTATTGTAATAATTTTATTTATGCACTTTGATGTTGTATGATAATGTAGTCAATTGAAAATTTGATGTCTGTGATAACCGAGATATCTTGGGATTATCATAGAGGGCAAAAGAGTCCGGATAAATTGTGGTTCGTTTTAGTGCGTTCACTGCTTCAATTCTTCCTGCAAATGCTTCTTGGGCTTACTTATCAAGGAAGCGTGAGTTCTTGCAATATTTTTACCATGCAAAATATGTTTTTATTTTTACTGTGACTTCCTGCAAATGCTTCTTGGGCTAATTAATTATCAAGGAAGCATGAGTTCTCGCAACATTCTTATTTTTTTGCGAATTACATAAGTACAGACGCAGACGTTCAACACGCACGCACGCACACTCACCCATATGAATACACGTACGCTAACCCTACCCCTATGAGCACCTCTGAAAGACTGTGCCGGCACATCTCGAGATTGACGAAGTCACTACAGGCGTCTTGCTGTCGATGGGAACGTCGCCTACCATTGAAAGCACAGTGCCGTTAAATCTTAGAATAAATCCAGAAAAATACGAGCACCCGTGCCAAGTCGAGGACTTGAACCCGGGTGGGCAGGTTCCACCACAAAGAACCTAACCAACTGAGCTAGGCTCAGTTCGCCGCAACATTCTTACCATCTGTGAATTATGTGTTTACTGTGACTTTTGCTACAGGAAACAATAAGGTTGCAAAAGTCACGGGAGCAGGATTCATGGCAGCAACTGTTTTGCCAATGGTAAATTGCAATAATGAATTTCCTACCAACTTTGACCATGATAAAGAAAAGGCTAAAGCCATAACCAACTTCATATTTACAATACTGTGACTTTTGCTACAGGAAACAAAAAGGTAGCAAATGTCACTGGAGCAGGATTCATGGCAGCAACTGTTTTGCCAATGGTAAATTGCGCTAATGAATTTCCTACCAACTTTGACCATGATAAAGAAAAGGGTAAAGCCGTAACCAACTTCAAATTTACAACCTTGCCAATCTGAATTTCTGATATAATTTTTTTTGTGGTGAAATCATTAACCAGTTCTAACATTCTTTACAATAATTGTCACGTAGGTTTACCAAGGAACCGATTCCTAAAAGAAAGATGACGTTGTCTTCATTCTAGATGCACTGGCCAGCTACTGAATAATAATTGAAAGATGAGTGAGTGGTCCATCATGATGCATAATTTGGATCTACAGTCTTCATTGTAGATGCACTGGCCAGCTCTTCAACGCAATGATCAAAACTGAAAGATAAGAAACAAAAAAAAAAGATTGAAAATTGTCGTAAGCATCGATTTAAACTAGATTAAGCATGCCAACTCTCATGGTCGGGCGCACGTATTCCAGGCTCCGCCGGGCTCGTGACGTGCGCCGCGACGCGGAGCGCGCAGAACACGCGGGAGGCGCGCACGAGGACGCGCTGGGCGCGATCACCGGCAGTGGCTGAGAGGGAAATTAGAAATAACTTTCTATTATTAGTTCCTAAATTAAAGAAGCATGTTGCTCCGGTTGGTTGAGTCCAAGGGCCATATATATATATATATATATATATATCCCTGTAATAGACGTGTGAAGATAAGGAAGAATATTACCAATCTAACCTCCCTCCTCTCTTCAACCAAGCCTGCGGCAGAGGGTTAACCTCGCCGGAGAAGACGGACCGAGGCTACGAGCTACGTAGCCGAGGCCTAGCTACTCGAGGGTTCAACGCCCTTGACAACCTAGTATCACGATCCCGGCGATCCTCGCCTTCCCGATCCAACCCACCACCAGCCGCCACCATCCCACCACCTCCTCCAGCCGCCGCGCCGTCATCATCCGCTTCGTCTTGTCCAGCCAACATGGGTGACGTTAATGACCTCAAGGCCACCGTGGAGTCCCTCACCAATGCCATGAAGACGCTACAGGCCACGGTCGAGGCCAACACCAATGCCATCGCCTCCCTCACCTCCGACCGCATGTCGTCCTCGAGCTCCAAGCCGGGCTCCGGCGAGCACCACAATGATCGGCCGCCAAAATTCCAGAAGATGGATTTTCCCCGGTACGATGGCAAGACCGATCCACTCATCTTCATCAATCGCTACGAGTCCTACTTCCACTAGCAGCGGATCATGGAGGAAGAGAAGGTCTGGATGGCCTCCTACAACCTCGAGGACGGGGCGTAGATGTGGTATATTCAGGTCCAAACGGACGAGGGCACTCCGTCGTGGCGCCGGTTCAAGGAACTGCTCAACCTACGCTACGGCCCCCCTCTCCATGCTGCTCCCCTCTTCGAACTGGCGGATTGCCGTCGCACGAGCACCGTCGCGGAGTATTAGGATCACTTCCAGGCGCTTCTTCCCCGCGCCGGTCCCCTGGAAGAGGCGCAAAGGGTGCAGTTGTTCATAGGCGGGCTCCTTCCACCGCTCAGCCTCGACGTTCAGGTTCACAATCCACAATCCCTTGCGGCTGCCATGAGCCTAGCGTGCCAGTTGGAGCTCCAGGAGCAGTACGCGCCGGCACCCGCCAAGGCCGTGCTCCGTGGCCTGCTACCGGCCCCTACGCCGCGCCTGGCCCTCCCTGCGCCCACGATCGCCAAGGCAGACGCGCCTGTGGCCGCAGGGGACGGTCGGCCGCTGGTCAAGCGCCTGTCCCTGCCAGAGCAGGAGGAGCGCCGGCGATAGGGCCTCTGCTTCAACTGCAACGAGCGGTACACGCGCGGGCACAACCGT